TGTGTGTGTGTGTGTGTGTGTGTGTGTGTGTGTGTGTGTGTTTTGCTATCTCATAGCAATTTTCCTGCATTAGTCTCCCAGGGCTGAGTTATGGGTTTAAGCAACCATGTCCTGCTTTTGACCCTATTCTTAATTGGTTAAGGTCTCTGCACACTAAAGAACCAATTTCATATTCACAAGGCTATTGTTTTTATAAAGTTTTTAAGATACCTTTTTGACAGTGAGAGGAGAAAGGACACTTACTTAGACAAGGCAAAAGCATCGCTCACCAGCTGCAGCCTGTGAATGACAGGAATGGCCTGCAGAAAGAAATCCAAACATGGTCATGAAAAGAGGAAAATATTTTCAAAACAGCAACTTCAAGACCATCAGTGCCTAAACATCCCTTCCTAAGAAATTGTCTCCTAGACAGAGAGTAGTGGCTACGAAGTTCAGCCCACAATTTACTTATTATGTATGTGGTTTTGATGACATCCTTTTGATATCAATCATAATGCTTAAATATGGCAGAACTTTTAGCAAAATACTCCTCTAAAACATACCTTGCTAAAAGACAAAGCTCCAAACTGATGTTTAAACACTTCTTCAAAAGAGAACGTGTATTTTTTTAATGCTACTATAATGTCTCATTTTCAGGAAAGTTTTGGCATAATCATAAACAAATGTTACTTAGCACTATTTTGTGGCACTGGGGCATTATTTTAAATGGGATTATTTTAAATTATCTGCACTCTTAGGATTTCATTGATGTGACCCAGTGCCTACACATTCTTGGAGAGACAGAGGCCTGTTAGCAGCCTGAGTCTATAGACTTGGTCGTGTTAACACTGACAGCTCACAAACTGCAATCTCAGCTTAGGCCCTCTGAGGCTCCCAAAGCTCTCTGCCATTCCTCCAACACCTCCCAGCACTTTCATATATTTGTTCCAAGGGAACTTATCATCCCAGAACTCCCAAGTGTTTGAGTGCACCAATCCTAATTCTCTCTTTGGAATAGTTTCATTTCTTCGTGGTAGCGGGAATGTTTGCTCATTTTCTAGATGCATTTGAGTAACAGAAATTCTGTCTTATTTGCTCACCAATTGTTTTGCCAAAATAGTCTGGTTAGGTGTTTCAATAAATCAGTCTACTATGGTATCAAAGAATGACTCCCCTAATGATATAACCTTGTGCCTTTATGGCTTATAGTACCATTAGAAGCCACTAAGAATTTAGTTAGTCTGGAAGGGGCCTTCATAACTTTATTTCAAATATCAATAACATTTTCTTAAGTTACTGAGCATATTCTGAGTGCCTGGGTTGTGTCTGTCCTCTGTTAAACATAACAAACCATCTTACACCATCTTCATGGGGTAAGATTAGTCTATTGAAACTGTTATATAGATGAGAAAACTGGAATGATAGTCAAATGTAAGCCCACAATCACATTTTAGGTAGACAAAAATGTGATTTGATGTCTCCTGACCTGTAGTCCAAACTCTGGGCCAGTGTGCCATGGGATGCTTCTGGTATGGAGGCTGCTATGTTTCCAACAGAGAAACTTAGTACAGATTTTACTTCAGCTAAGAGGACTGCACAAAGTTCCACATGAAGTCATGTAAACTCTAAGCCAGTATCTCTCTCTACATAGGGAGCTTTGCTTACATCAATCAACTAAAGACTGACTGATATGACCTGGTCAACATTTTACCATGTATAGATTTCATCACGATTTATAGATTATTAAAAATAACTTAAAGTGATAGTGGACTATCGATGTTTTAATAAAGTAAATTCACTCTTCTGATTGAGAAGACTTATTTTTAAGAATAAAATTTAATAATTTTTAGCATATACTGTGTACCAATTGTAAGCTTAGAAACTTTAGGTATGTCTTTACCTACACAGTCTCTAATACTCATGAATTAAAAAAGTGATATTTTCATTGCAAAGTAATAAATGGAACTGAGCATTGAAGTAACTTAGGAAAACATAATCTGATTCTCATTTCAAAATGTAAACTTATTTTGGAAAAGAAATAAGAATGTTCAAAAATATACATTCAACCAAAATCAGTCCTTCCCAAGAATGAGAATAAAATTGTCTCCATCATAGGTGATAGACAAGGGGCTCTCCATCAGAAAGCCCATCCTTCAAATGACAATGGATGACTCTTGATTAAAACACCAAAACCAGCCCATACCTTAGGATCCTTTTCAAGTTGTTGACTTAATTTCTTCCAACCTAACTCGTCATAATTCACTCTGTAATATCCAGTCACGTTGAGGTTTAAAATCACCCAGTCGCCATCAGAATCTGAAAGTTGCATCTCAGGGAACACCACTATCAAAAAAAAAAATTCAGTACATTTTTTTTTTTTTTGGTTTTTTGAGACAGGGCTTCTCTGTGTAGCTTTGGAGCCTATCTTGGCACTCGATCTGTAGATGAGGCTAACCTCGAACTCACAGAAATCAGCCTGCCTCTGCCTCCCGAGTGCTGGGATTAAAGGCATGTGCCACCAACGCCCAACCCAGTACATTTTTAATATAACACATTCACACTTCTAAACAATAAGCCAGTAAGGCAAAAGTTAAGATAGCTCTTAAGTAGACATTGATCTGCCATATGAATAACTTTTCTTCCTTCCTTCCTTCCTTCCTTCCTTCCTTCCTTCCTTCCTTCCTTCCTTCCTTCGAAACAGGTTTTCTCTATATAACAGCTCTGGATATCCTGGAGTTCTCTGTAGACCAGGCTGGCCTCGAGCTCACAGAGATCTGCCTGCCTCTACCTCCTGAGTGCTGGGATTAAAGGCATGTGCCACCACTGCCCTGCTAACTAAATTTTCATGTATAATTATTTTTAATTTGAATTATGTCTTTAAAGCTTTGTCCAATAATCAGGTTTTCAAAACCTCAACATTTTTAACAAAATGTATACCTATGTTTTTATAGATGTGTATACATGAAGATATACATATATGCATATGTAATACACGCATATGTTTACTTACTGTTGCTTTTGTCTAGCCAGACTAAAGGTTGTGTGATTCCATTTTTCATCCAAAAAATAGGGACAATCCATGTGTTACTTTTTGGAAGGAAAGAAAAAGAATTAGCTATTTTCACACACAAGAATATACACACTCATCCCAAATTAAAGAGATGCCAAAATAGCAGACCTCCAAGTCCACGGTCAAGCCCAGCAGGCACCTGGGATTTTTTTGCTCTTGGGGTGTCTTGCTGCTGTTTCAGTAAGCCAATATTGCTTTGATTCTTTATTATCCCTCCCTCTTGCTGTCTCTTATAGGTTTACCTCTTATAACACAGACAATTGCTGAGACTTCCTTCTGTCTGAAATATCAAAGGGCCGATTTTACTAAATTATAGCCACCTGGCCTCACTCTGGGCTATTCTAATGCTTCAGGGATACCCAAATCTGTCCATGCCCAGAGAGGTGAAGGGTAATTTAAAAAGGAAAAGCTTGCCAACATTTCAAAATACCTCTGAGCCTCGAGTTTTCTCCTCATCTGAAACATGTTCACAGGCATCAGCCACGATGTTTGTATTTACTGAACGTCTACTTTTTCCTCCCTCAATGGTGGCTGTGAACTGGATGAATCAGCTGACCACAAGGACTGCATTAGCCTTTAGGAAAGGCACAGTTCAGGCAATTGTTCCCAATCTTCTTCCAGTTCTCACATCTGGCATCTTAATCCTTTAGCTGTGAGTCTGCATTTATCCGCACACCTAAGACTGCCCACTTCTCAAAAGTCTCAGAACACTAGAGTGCAGAGTCCATTCACCTTTGGTTTCTCTCCCCTTGGGTTTTGCAGAGTGGGACTATTTGATTTGTCAATTTTGTTGTTGTTGTTGTTTTGTTGTTGTTGTTGTTGTTGTTGTTGGTGGTGGTGGTGGTGGTGGTGTGTGTGTGTGTGTGTGTGTGTGTGTGTGTGTGTGTGTGTGTGTGTGTGTGTAGAATATGGGAGGCAATACACATGTGTGGAGGTCAGCGAACAACTTTTTAGAGTTTATTCCCTCTTTCTACCTTTAACATGGATTTCAGGAATCAAAATCATGTCATCAAAGCTTGGGGGCAAACCCACTGGACCACTTTGCCAGCCCCTTCTTGAAATTGTTTCTAGTATTTGAAAATCTTTCATTCATGCTGATATCTACTACAATGAGATGTAAGGGTGAAAGTTACTTAAAGCAGTTGCCAGTTAACAGTTAGGTGAAGAAATAGGAGGAAGAAAGAAGTGGGCAATGAGTGGCATGCTACCACTCACTACTCCACATTTTTGCATCATCTCCCTATTCTACTTACGTTGCTGACAATGCAACTGGAGCTCAGAGAACTTGAGTAAGACCTACAAACAGTCTGACTTTTGTGGAAGCCAGCATTTGAATCAGGTCTGAAGGCTACAATTTTAAAGTTGCAGATATGGCTTTAAATATACACATATTGTGCACATCACACAACATGAACACATGTGCACAGCACTCTCCTCAAGGATGTAGCTGCCTCTTGATTCTATGTCTAGGGAAAAGACTGCAACAGGACCCTCTATTTTTCTGAAAAGTTGTGCTACTAGTGACATCATTCTTGTCTCCCACTCAGAATTTCTGAGTGATTCATTTGTCTGATGGACAGTGAGGAACACATAGAATTCTAGTGGTCCAGTCACTCTTGTGACTCTAAGTCCCACATAAGGGCAAACATTGGTCCCTCGTTGCAGGCTTCTGGCCTTGACTAGTATTTAGGGTTCTGGCACACCCTAAGAGACAGTGCCAGCCCTTCAGGGAGTCAGCCAGCAGAAGGGCACGTGCCCAGCAAGCAATATACTTCCTCACTGCTGACTGGTTTCCATTGCATTGTTGCTCAACCCCAAACCTAGTGACGATAGAGGAACAAAATAACCTACTTGCGGCTTACAAGAATTTGATTTTCAGCCTTTTCAAGATAAAACGGCTCTTGTTTCATGATGCCTGTAGACACATTTAACGTGACAACTGGAAAGCCACCCTGGTATGTCCAACTATCCATTATGTTTTTTACTGTTGTTGGCAAATGGATTACATTCTGCTCATCTATGGCCTGATTAGAAAAAAAGCATCACAAAAAAGACGTGGTTTATCAGCAAAACCTTTGGAAGCAGCAATCTCACCCAATGAAATGAAATAACCATCCTATTGCTTCTTCATATGGGAATCCCCAGTGGTTGATATTCAGAACTGTTTGTCTCTACACGGCTTTCCTCTAGTGTCTGGGAGGGGAATATTTTTCCAGGACACTCATGGCAACAGAATCTATGAATGCTGATGCCCTTATATAAAAATGCTCCTATGGAAGCATGTATTGCAAATCATCTACAGGTGACTTGTAATATCTTCACAATGCAAATGCTATGTGAACATAATAGTTCTTACATTGTATTGTTTGGGGAATAATGGCTCCAGAAAAGTCCATATATGTTCAATACAAACAGAATTTTCTCTATTTCTCATCTTGGATTGCTTGAATATACAGATAGGGAACCACAAACACAGAAGACTGACACTATAAATTGCTATTTATATACTTATCCATGTATTCACTGAGCATATATTTAGGGATCTAATAGATTACTCTCTATTTTGGGCCATAGAAGTAGAGTGAAGACTTAAGAAACACTTGAGACCTAAGGGGGGGTTATAAATAGGGGGAAGTCACATTGTTGTGGCTCAGTCATTCACTCATGGCTTCCTGCTCTTGTACTGTATCAGACAAAACTGCTCAGCAAGAAAGTGTCTCAAGAAGGACAATCACCATTTGAAAGTGTCTCCATAGGTCGTCTTGCTCAGCATTCGAGTAAGAAAATGTCTCCAAATATGACTGTGAAAACAGAAGAATTGGGGTTAAAGCAATAGGATATCAAAGCAATTCACATTTGCTGCTATCTGGCAACTCTCTTAGCAACTCACCTTAAGTGCATTGACAAACAAGTGCTGGTCCAGGAAACTGTCAAGCATCCGGGCCATACATGCCCCCTAAGACATACAAAGCCATTCATCAGCTGAACAAAATTCAGGATTTAAACACGGACACATTCCACTTTTATGAACACTGTTCCATGCTACGCTTCTGATTCCAATTTGTTCTTGAATTCCCTGTTCAAATTATCCTCAAATATGTTAATAAAATAGTAGATTGTCACTAAGTAGTGAATAAAGAGCAAACAAATGTCCTACATATAAAGAGTTGGGGTACACAAAAAGATTTAAATTACAACATTTGCATGTAAGAATAAAACTCTACAAAACAGAAGTTTGGAGATGGGATGATGGCTCAGCTAGTAAGGCACTCACTATGCAAGCAAGCAGGAAGACCTAAGCTCCATCTTTAGAATCCATATACAGAAGCTAAGCAGGTGTGTTTGTTTGTAATTCTAGAACTGGGGAGAAAAACAGGAGATTCCTAGTACTAGATGACTACCTGCTTAACCAATCAGCAAGCCCCAGGCCAATGAGAACATACGTCTCACAAAAATAAGGTTGATGGCTCCAGAGGTACAACACCCAAGATTGTCCTCTGGCATCCCAATATGCATGCAAACATGCCCCCCCCCACACACACACACTCTCAGAAACCTAGAAAAGTTTGCTTTTAATGCATCGAGGTATGTAAGTCTGTTTATAATAGTATATGTGCCCAGTATCTAACATGACCTCACTTATAATATTTGCTAAGTGAAGGCCGACTTTAAAGCAGTTTCTGGCATTAGGCAATAATATTAAAGTTACTTTAACCATGTAGCATTTTATCATCCTTGGAACCCATTATACATAGGTTCTCTGCATGAGAACAGAAGAAAGCCCAAATGTGTTTTTACCTTGTTATAAGTATATATGTCAAAGAGTTCATTTATTTCCCTTGTTTCTGTGAAAATTTCCATGTCAGTGGACACAGCTCTAGACTCAAGGGCATGATCTTCTCTGAGGACTCCATGTAAAAAGTTAAAAAAGAAGATCTCATTCTATAAAGGAAAAGATTGAGCCACATTAACTTCGGAGGGTTACAGAAATGCAAAATCCAACATCCCTAAGATAGCTTCCAAAACCCACATTGAAATGGAGAAAAATAATTGAAAAGTGTCTGAATTAGAATGTGCCCCAAATGTCAGAATTATTTGAATAACAAAATGATAGGCCATCTTCCTTCCTGTTTTCTTGCTTTTATTTTGAGTTTTAAGAACTTAATTATAGAAGTGTTATTCCTTAGAGTCATCTATTTCTCATCAAAACAGGTTCCGTGCTCTGTCTCTATGTAGTTCCAATCCACTAGATTGTATTGTGGATTGATTCAATGAATCCTTAAAACTGACTGGTACTTTTCCATGCATATTCACAAAGCAAAAAGCACACTAGACTTATAAATTGACAATGATGCTGACATAATAATTGGAAAGACATCCACAGACTAGATCCAAGTGTTTGCAGTTCATGTGTTCTGAGAAAGCAGTTTATTACATTGTACTGGGAGCCACGGGACTGTCCAAGACACTGGCTTTCCCTTGGGCACATGGCAAGAACAATTTCTCTCTGGTGTGAAGCTAGAAAAAAAACTAATTTACAGGCAAAGAGGAATTTGGGCTGAAAAAAAAAAAAGAACAAAGATTAGGAGAGATGTTGTACGGATGAGTTGTCTGCACCCTGGTGGGTGGCTTAGCCCCTGATAGCCCTGTAAAGCCTAAAACCCCTACTTATGGAACTCGAGCTGACTTCTCATGCCACATGACACACCAGGTAAATGTTCAAATTCTTCTCTACTTCCATCTGTTAATGTTCTGGTCAACTCCTTTGTATTCCTAGCTTAAATTTTGATTAACAATACCATCAGCTAGACTTTTATCAGTTACTTGACTTCTTACTGAGACAAAATATACTATACTGCCAAAAGTAAATTTCATGAACAGTCAGGAAGCAGACAGCAACGGACGTCAGTGTTCAGTTCACTTTCTCTTTTTAATTCAATTAGGCCCCTGGTGCATAGTTAAAGTGGACCTTTCCACCATAATTAACCTACTCTAGATAATCTAATCTGGATATAAATAGTAACAGATAATAACCTAATCTAGACCATAGATACATCCAAAGGCTAATTTATATATGCTTATATATACTCTTATCTATGCTTACCCAGAAGACTAGCTCCTGGGTGAGTCTAGACCTTGTCAATTTGACAGTGAGTATTAACTACCTCTAGGCTATTGGCAAAATACACTCTTCTGAAACTGAGAAGCCTATATCATAGAGAAATGGGTCAACAATTTTGTTGTTTGAGATGGTGCTTTGCTGTGTAAACCAGGTTTTTTTTTTTATTTTAAATCCTCCTGCCTCAGCTTCCTAAATAGCTGAAATGGTAGATTAAGTTAGCATGTCTGGCTACATCTGAAATTTTAATGGAAAATGGATCATCTGGAGATTATGTCAAAATTGTGTTGGTCTGGCTAGTATCCTGTACTCCAGTAATTAAAGGATGTTGAATGGTAAAGCTCTTCTATTGCTATTTCAGTAATAGCCTATTCATTAAGCATAGGTTTTGTATAGTGTTCTTGAGAGTGTCATATTTTGATCAATGTGTCATAGACACAAGGGAAAAAATTTAAAACTTGCATAATTCATGCCCTAAAATAAACACTGCCCCAATGTTGGCTTTAATATAATTCTTCCTAAGATATGTTTCCTATGTATGTATTCTCATAGTAGTAAAATTCCCTACTGTAGTTACCAACATTTTGAGTTTTTGTTTCTACATCTTCATAACTGTTCCCTAAGATAATTGTTATATTATAAATGAACAGAAAGATAAATTGGAAGGACACAAAGCCAAAGTTAGTTTGGTCAAGTCACAGATGGATTTCATCTCTTTCATGCATAATGGATAAAACTTTTATAAAAAGCTAAGTGTTATGATAAATGAATAGGCAATTGTCAAGACAATGGGCCAATAATCATTTTTTTCCTCTCTTAAAAGTTCTTTTACTCATACAAATCACCAAATCTATCTCTTACATTCAGTCTTACCATTGCAAAGCAGGGAAAACATAATTGTCCTCACTTAATTGTTTTAATGGCTAAATTAATTTATATTTTTAAGCAAAATGCCCAGTAAATAAAGCCCTCTACATAGGTAGGCTATTTTTAGGCTACTTATCATCATCATTTATTGTTCTTAAGACTGAACAATGTCTATGATACTCTATATGCACATGAGGGTATATTTAATGACAGTTGTTACATAGTATGTAACAGATATTCAGAACGCTGTTCAATGACTTCATGAAACTCCTCTTAGTTCTGATGTTCAACTGCACATCTCAGTTTATGGTGGTAAGAAAGGCAGAGTGAGGATGCAGGGGTCTTTCTGGATAGATGGTGGAGTTCTTGTCTAACATGCATGAGGCCTGGGGTTTAGGGTCAGAACCATGCTTACACACAAGATAGTTGCTGTTGTGCCCATCACCAAGCCTGCTACTTTCCTGAACTAGGCAGAAAAAGAAATAGAAGTCACTACCAGAACTGGAGATTGAAAGGCCAAGAGACCCAGAGCTGGCGAATGGCAAATCCAGCAATCTCCTCATCATCATTATCTTGGCCATCAGACTAGCACCAAACAATTAATTTCAAAGCCAACTCTGTTGAAGCCCTTAACATTTCATCCTCATCTATAGAATGATGTCCAAACTCCCTTCTGGAACAACAGGACTTGTGTTCAATGCAGGAAAGGAAGAAGGAAGCACTGCAGAGTGAACAGGCTAGGGAAGGGAGCATTATCCAGGTCATCTGGCAAGAGCACAGGGGTGGTGTGGGCCTGGGGCACTCCAGCTCAGTACTTCCAAGATAATGTAGGTTCACAAACACAGAAAAAATTTCTTGTTTCCAAGTGGATTTAATGATATATAGAAGTGTCCATGATGTCATTCTGAGTGAAGACACATTAGAAACTTTTTTAGTTATTCTGTTGTGCATGATATATATTGAAGTGCACAGAATTGGGTCTTTCCTTCCACCTTTACATGGGTTCTGATCATCAAAACCAGGTTATCCGACTTGCACAGCAAATGGCTTTACCCACTAAGCCATCTTTCTATACCAGCATTAGAAATCTCCATACAGGGTTGACAAGATGGTTCAGCAGGAAAGGAGACTTGCTCCCAGGCCTAACAACCAGAGTTTGATGTCTCACACCCGTATGTCTCCCACAAGTTGTCTTCTGACTTCCACATGTATGCTATGACATATGCTGCTTGACACACACAATTATAAGCAAATAAATACAAACTTGGGGGTGGGTATGAGACAGCCTTATCTTGTATAGAACTGCTGTCCTGGAACTAGCTCTGTAGACCAGGCTGGCCTGTAACTCACAGAGATCCACCTGCCTTTGCCTCCCAAGTGCTGGGATTAAAGGCATGCACCACTATCACCCAGCTAAAAATGAAAAGTTTTAAGCCAAAAGAAGTTTCAGTATAAATATCACTTAAACAAAAATAATAAGTAAAAAGCTTGCAAGAAAAAAAACATAAAAGGCAGCACAACTCACATTTGATAAAGAGTTTTAGTAATTAATAGTTACTGGGTTTGTCTGTGTTTTATAGATTTTCCAACAATGAATATGCATTATTTTTATAATTGGAGGTAAATGCTTAAATTACTTACCCTTGGAAGTTTAGGATAGAAGTAGTTAATTATTCCAAGTTCAAAATAAGATGCAAAGCCCTCATTGAGCCAGATATTATTCCACCAACTCATGGTCACCAGGTTCCCGAACCACTTTTGGAGATATGAGAGAGAAAGAGTTATTTCTAAAATTTAAGTTGTCTTTACTGTAAATACACGCTAAGGAGGTGAGGTGACAAAAAGATGTACATGTTGTTTGCTGTCAATAACAAAACTTGAAAGCAGGACTCCCAAACATGCCTTGCTGTTTTCACACGAGGAGATAGCAGCCGTACATTTCTCAGAAATGATTGTGTCATTTCTGGTCACTGGAAGCAGTCTTTGCTTTAAAACTGATATGTAAGCACAAAGCTGGCTAGCTGAGCATAAACCATTGGCTTTGCCCTCGAGTTGTGTTTAGTTCAATGAAGCTGAAGTCCTAGGCTCTCACTTACCCCCTGCTATTCTTGCACCTTGTAGTCTAACTAGGACTTCACTGTAAGTAGATACTAAGTTTTAGACTGTGATTTGATCCACAGCACATAGGCTTCACTCAGGCATGTGTATACTCTGTGATGTGTTGCAGCTGCGTCGTTTTCTATTGAAGCTGAACAGGGCAGAAGAAGCATAGATGTGTTTGGAAAGAAAAACACATTCACCAAACCAACAAATCCATATCTTGGTGTCTAACCAAATTGTTAGCAGCTTATATCACTTGGGTTACAATAATAAATGACACTTTGGACAACTGATGAAAATTCATGCGAGTATGAGGACTCTGTAGCCAGAGTGTGGAGTCACACACATAAGAAAATGAAACTGTCCTAGATAAGGTTATTTCTTGCTTGACACATTACTGTTAATGGAATAGAGACTAAAATGTAGGTATGAAACTTTCCATCAAGGCAAATGCCTAGACTTTTAAGATCCCAATATGAAGCACACAGAGGTGCAGCCTGGTTACACCCTTTGTGGATGCAGCTTGAGCTCTCATATGCCCCTCATTAACACACTGGCGGCATCCCCACTAAACCTCTTCCCAGAATAAAATTAAACAGGCTCACAATCACACAATCCTTCAGTGGGTGGGACTCAGCTTGACTGACAGCACACAGACCCTTCCTTTTTTTAAAGACAGTGTTTCTTACACACACCGCTATACATTTCAAGCACTCCTGTGCTGCCCCAAATGTGGTGTGTGGCTGGTATTTCTTGGTTTTGCTGCTTGGAGGAAAACAACTAGAAAATACCTCACTGTGAAATAAGGGAGAACATTTCACCAGTTACCTGGTGCCCAACCTCATGGGAGATGATGGACAAGACCATGGCCCTTTTCTCTGTCAGCTCATCATCTGGTTCCAGCAACAAGAATGCTTCATCAAATATCAACAGCCCCCAGTTTTCCATTGCACGGTTGTCAAAAGTAGGCAAGGCAATTATATCTAAGTGGATTTAAGTAAGGAAAAAATCATATTTTTAAATAAAATGTTCTTTCAGCTATAAATTATGTCCAAATAAAGTCACAAGGTTACTGAAAAATAAAGATTAGAGGAAATCTGTAACCTGAGTAAAAAGAAGGGTGAAAAAAAAAACAGAAAATAAGTTATGACAATTGTATGAAAATCATACAAAGAGCAAATACTTCTGATGAGAGACTCATAGCTCAAATCTAGAAAGATCTCAAAACTCAACAATAAGAAGAGAAGATGGGCTAAATCCTGGTCTTTCCCCAGCCCAGTGAGTCAGTCTGTCTCAGTGCATGCATCAGACTTAGTGACATTGCCCATCCCTCTAAACCCTTCCTCCCCAACACTCATCCTATCCCAAACCCAAAAGCTTCCTTTGCAAAAAACAAACAAACAAACAAACAAGAACAAAAACCTCTGCTGCCTTGCCCAACTCAGTTATGTTGACCCTAGATTTCCTCTGCTAACTAATCCTGTTTGGTTTCCCAGGAAACCCTCTACTCGAAGGACGGATGTAATCAACACTCGGAGTCTGGCCTGGACAGCTATAAGAAATCAATTCTTTTTTCCCCCAAGACAGGGTTTCTCTGTATTGCTTTAGAGCCTGTCCTGGAACTCGCTCTGTAGACCAGGCTGGCCTTGAACCCACAGAGATCTGCCTGCCTCTGCCTCCAAAGTGCTGGAATTAAAAGAGTGTGCCACCAATGCCCAGCAAGAAATCAATTCTTATAGAGACTGATTGGCTACTTTTAAATTTTTACATGCGTGTGTGTCTGTGTAATTGTGTGCATGTGTGTGTGTGTGTGTGTGTGTGTGTGTGTGTGTGTGTGTGTGTGTGTGCAAGTGGAGATCATAAGAC